GCTTCAAGGATCCCACATCTCATTATTTTTGTGTTAAAGATTTGGTTTCCAATACATGAAGTTCTTGGGATGCCTCCCATCTATAGCAATATGGGAGATCAATTTCTTTAGTTGGAGTAAAAACAGAATGTGCATTAAGGAAACAAGAAAGGTTTTATATAAAATAATCAGTAAATTCTCAATTATGAGGCCAGAAATCTCATTTTCATTGTGTTGCAAACTTATCAGTATCTAGACATTCTTTAAGCTTTTCTAGTAAGCAATGTAAGTGACCAAGGATTAGGGATGGTTGCCCTCAGCAGGACACAGCCAACTGGAAAGTTAGAAGAAAACAGATGTCAGTCAGGAAATCTCTAGAGACACAACTTAAGTGTTTTTTCAGTGTATTGATGATATCTTTTAAAGTGCAGTTTTTTACTATAATATTTAAAATAATTTTCTGTAGATGTAACCAACCGTCTTATTAAATAAGAAACACAGAACCAATGTAAAAGAGAAAGCCAAGAGGTCAGAGCTCAGAGCTAAAAATCTCACCCTTCCTTCTGTGGTAGTCCTAGCTCTCCAAAAGAGAGCTACTTCCTGTGTGTACGTCTTTTCATAGTCTTTGTTCTGCCTTCTCATTGGTTGTAAACCCAAACACGTGACTGTCTCATCACTGTCTGTATGTACAGCCCCCCAAGTCTTAAAGGCATATGTCTCCAATGCTGGCTGTATCCCTGAACACACAGAGATCTATTTAGCTCTTCTACCAAGTGCTGGGATTAAGGCGCGTGCCACCACCGCCACACTCTTGCTATGGCTCTAATAGCTCTGGCCCCCAGGCAACTTCATTTATTAACATACAATCAAAATCGCATTTCAGTACAATTAGAATACCACCACAATTTTCTGAAAACTGTATCCATGAAACTATGTACTGATTATATTCAGCTCCCAAGACTCCCTTTAACTCTGTCAAAATCAACTTCCTGCCTACCTTTGTACCCTTCCTAACTTAGTGTCCTCTTCATAGTTTTTTTGTATGAACCACTGAGTTCAATTTGTGTTGACAGTAAACTCATGGGTGTGTGGTCATATACTGGAACTTGATCAACTTTCCAGTGGCCACACTCTTAAAGAGAACTAACTCTACCTACCCTAGAAGCCCTTATCCGTCAATAGCTCCTCAGCCAGGAGTCAGGGCTCATGATCCCCTCCCCCATCCTTCTGGAGAGTTCCCTGATATGATCTCCTGCAGGCACTGTGCAGGCAACCACAGCTGCTGTGAGTTCCCGAGTGCACAGGTTCTGTCCTGTCTATAAACACTTTCCCCCCAGTCTTCCCTTTGTCTACCTCTTAAGATCTTTTTACACCCTCTTCCATGATCGTCCCCGAGTTTTGGGGACATTGTGATACAGATTTCTATTTGTACTAGAGAACTCCACAGACCTTTATTCTCTACACTTGAACAGTTGTGAATTTCTGTGTAAACCACCTTCTGCTACACAAGGAAGAATCTCTGATGAGGTCTGAGAATCTATAGGTACAGAGTTAGGAATTTATATGGCAGTTTGATATTTTTGGTTGGTTTTATTTATTTTTTTTAGCAATATAATAGTAGGGAGCTTACTGTTGGGGCCTGTGAGGGTCCCAACCATGTGTTTTAGGACAGATTTGCAGTACCAGGAATGTATTTTCTCCTGTGGAACAGGCCTTAAATCCAACCATAAAGTACTCGATTACCCCCATAGCATCCATGTAACTATGAAACCTATGGATACATCATTCCATGCCAGTTACTATAGTTCACAGCTACATAAGACTGCTGATGGCCATTCTGTCTGTGCTGGCTAGTTTTATGCCAACTTGACACAAGCTAGAGTCAACTGAGAAAATGTCCTCACCAGATTAGCTCTTGAGCAAACCTATCATATATTTTCTTGATTGGCAACTGATTTGGGAGGGTACAGCTCACGATGAGTAATGTTACCTATTGGCTAGCACTTCCTTCCCACCTCTCCAACACTTCTTCATTCATTCTGGTGGCACTGGGAGCCTCGAGGTGTCATATATTACATCCTTTTGTCCAATCAGCTTTACTCACGAATGTTCATTGCAATGAGTCACTAGTCCGGTTCGAGGCCTCTGGTTTCTGGTACACCATCATCACAGGACCATCACCAGAACTCCTCTGGGGTATCCCTTTGATGCCTGAGTCATGGAGATCCTGCAGATATTGTTCCACAGCACCACTCCCTTCACGAGTTCCAGAAGGTCTTAGATGGGGTAGATATTAGGGTGGGCCAACGCAAGGCCCGACAGTGGGCTTGGGTGGTAACTGAGATGGTCTGTCCAGGCCACTGGGGCCACCTGCCATAGTTAAGTGGTCAGAGTCAGCTTCCCAAGCCCATGCCCTCAGGGTCAGTTCACCCTTGCCTATAGTGAAGGCCAGGGCCATCTCTCCTGAGTCCAAGGGCCAGTTCTCCCATGCTGCAATGTCCAGTGAGAGGCAAGGCCAGCTTTCCCTGGGCCAGCAAATGGTGGGGACAGCTCAGCACGGCCCTCTGATTTCATCTCACATGGTCCCCAGGGCTCCTGAGGTTACATGGGCCACAGACACCAGCTGCAGCTGGACCACAGCCCAGACATGGCCCTCAGTAGCAGCTTGGGCTCTGACAACATCCTAGCTCTGGGTGGAATTACTGGCCACTCAGGTCAGGACAGTTCTGGCCTGGGCACCATCAAGGCCTCAGGTTGTGGCCCCACCCCTGGGCTTTGATGTGACCTCTGGTGGCAAAACAGGACTTGGACTTCAGCACAGACCCCCGCCACGGTAGGACTACAGACCCAGATACAGTCCTCAGCAGCAGCTGGGTTGGGGTGTCACCAATGCCCTAGTGGCAACCTGAGCCACAGACTTCAAACACACTCCAGCTACAGCTGGACTACTGGCCAAGACATGGCCCCAGGCAGCATGAACCAGTCCCCATCCTAGCTCCAGGTTGAAGCCCTGGCCATTCAAATCAGGATGGTTCTGGCAGCAGTATGGCCCCTAGACACCAGCAGGGCCACACACGGTCCAGATCCCAGGCTCCATGTGGCCTCTGGTGACAACATGGGCCATGGACATCAACACAGACCTCAGCTGTGATAGGAAAGTGGACCCAGACATGATCCGTGACAGAAACTCCAGTCTGGTTGTCAGTATGACCCCAGGTGATGGTGAAGGCCACCCAGATCAGCATGGCCCCAGCAGCAGTAAGACTGCTGGACACCAACATGGCCTGAGGGGTGTTTACCCACAAACCCCACAGCTCCCCATAGTTTTCTTGAGTGCAAGCAGCAGGAAATATTAGATAGAAGAATTTAGATTGTGGGGATAAACAGGTAGAAAATAAGGGATACCCTCGAGAGGGCCTGGAACCTATTCCAACAGGCCCTGACTGTCTCTGCCCCAGGGTATTTATAGAGACGCCAAGGGATGGAGCGAAAAACCTCTCTGCAGCACAGCCAATTGCAGACCATCTCAGACACCTGCACTCAGGCCCAGGGTCCTAATCATCCTCTCTATGTGGATCTGCTGGGTAAAACCACAAGGAACCTAAAAACGGGCTCCCACAATGGCCCCAGGTGGTGGTCCAGACCACTGGAATCAGCATGGCCCTTGTGGCAACAGGAGCCATGGACATCAACACAGACCTGGATGTCACCATGGCACTAGGTAGCAGTATATACCACTGAGATCTGTATGGCCCTAGCTGCAGAAGGCCTTTGGGCACCAACATGGTCCCAGGTGGCTGACCAGACCCCAGACAATCACATGCCCTTTGTTTGCAACAGGAGCCAAGGATGTCAACTCAGATCCTGGCTGCTGTAGGACCACGACCCAGACATGGCCCTTGGCAGCAGCCTAGCCTAGACATCACCACCACCCCAGGTGGCAAGCAGGCCTCCAACATCAGTCTACTCCTCATTACCTTCTTCATTTCTTCTTTTTTGCCCCTTTACACAGCACAGGGACCATTCTGTTTCTTTTTCTCTACCATTTCTTCATACTTACTCATCATAATGTGACCCACCTTGGAACTCCAGGTGGGCCCATGGATATCTTCCCACCATCGAGGGTCTTGACACCAACTGGCCTGTGGCTGGCCAGCCCCTACTTGAGCAGAACTCTAAAGACACATTTTCAATCATGTATCAGTAATTTACTTGTGTGTTTATAATTCACTAAACACCATTCATACAGACATTTTCTACTCTCTTTTACTATCATATAGTTTACTTCACAAACCACACTGGTTATCTTTAACTCTCCATTTCAAGAAAACTAGTTACCATCTTTCACTGTGCATCATTTTCACCGTCCATTCATAGTCTCTAGTTATAGTGCATGAAGAATCTTCATCCTGCACCATTATGGAAAGCAACTCCACTAGTAATTTATCATGTAGCCTAAAATAATTACAAAAGCTCATGTGTGTTTATTCCTGAATCTCTATTGATTTCCAGATTTACTTATGTCAGCATGTTCTCCAAACCTTTCATTGAGATTTTTTAAGAAACCTTGAAAACATAAATAGACATGAAAGGAATAATGTTCAAGAAAATTACAAATATTATTTCCCCAAACCTTAAATTAGCAGGAACACATCAATATGGCTTCAATTATTTCAGAAATTGTTTTCGGTTTGAAAGTCATCATCATGTATCCTTCATACAGACATGTCTACCAGGGCTTAGTTTCTAGCATCAACCAAAATATCACTATTTCACAACAGAGAGAATGACACACCAGGGAGATAATAAGAGTGTCACATGGGGAACAGAATAGGACATTTTAATTGCTCCTATCTTCCCCCTCACTCTACTCTACACAGTTGATCCTAATGATAGGAAGTCTTGAGAGAGTTACTTATGTGTGTGTAATATATATTATATATATACATATTTATGATATATGTAGTTCTTTATTTGACACTTCTTATACATCAAAACTCTCTTAACTTTATTCCAGTAAGTGGTTTGGAAAGAGAGGACATGAATCATGGCACTTGATTCATAAAGTGGGAAGAACTTAGAACTTAAAATCTGTGTCCTGATCACCTGCATGAAAGAGAGTGGAGAGGTTTTGTTTTGAATTATCATCACCTACTACAGAACTATTCCATGTGAAGTTTCCTGGCTCTAAAACAGAACGGGGACCGAAGTTTCCAAGTAGAGAAAAGGTGAGCACCAGAATTTCGTTTTTCCTGGCACCGTTACACATAGGAATGAGACAGATTTTCTGAGATCCAGTCTCTAAACACCAAAGGAAAGCAGCTGAAAAATGGTCACTCATATTTTGAGAAGACATATCAGAAGCCAGGAAAAAAATATGTTTAAACCTAACATTTTCCAGGTATGATTAATGGTTAAATTGGCTTTTATGTAAACACAAAGTGTATCCAATTAGCTGTATTATTTCCTCAGAGGCAGCATAATAATGCAATCCCCCTTTATACTGCTCATTAAGTAGATACTAGGTATAACTAACTTTAATATAAATAATCAATTTGCCTTGATAGGTTTAACATATAATGCTTTATCTAGAGCATACCGCCTAATTAGCACAAGGAACCAAGGAACTCTATATCTTATATTCCTATCTCTTCCCTCATATACACACCTTGTTTGCATCAAACAAACATCTAAATTCTTCATTTGTTTTGATGACTTTTAGAGAATCATATATTTTGAACATGAAAATAATAATCTTAACACTTGACTTTGAATATCGGACAACCAGATAATTTCCCTCCCTCTCCCCTTCTAGACTGTGGTAGTCTGAGGAGCAGGGGCTCTGTGTTATGCTTCTCTCTATACCCCAACCAGAAACATCATTTCTGTTTATCACTTTTGAATGGTCTTTATTATAAGTTCACACTCATATCCTAACAATATCTTCTTGAAGCAACAGCATCCTGCAAATATTCATTTTTTGTCTTCTATAAATTTTTATAATATTTTGCATATAATTATCATCTAACTTCTTAATAAAATTTTTTTCATGACAAGCTTCCAACTGTAGATCAAAGTTTAGATGTCCCCTGGGTCCAATAGAACTGTGATATATTTTCCTCTGTTTTCAGACACAAAGCATAACTATGTAATACAGGTAGGATGACTATAAAGATTTAGCACAGATTTTGTCAAGGTAATGCAGAACTATTTAAACAGTTTTTTTTCCAGAGGAACCTGTTAAAATATAACAAAATTTTAAAGTCCAGATATAAGATATAGTTTGGTGATTTCATTGTTGTTATGTATCATTATTTAATACTTTTAAAATAAAACAACTTTGTTTTATTCTCCAAAAGAAATCTTACTGTCAGAATGATCATGGGCAAACTTGGAAGATACTATACAAACTGAACTAAGCCAGGCACAAAACAAAAAGCACTGAATCATTCTACTTAAATACAGTAAGTATTACCATAAAATCCATAAATAAAAAAGCATACAAAAGTTACCATAGAATTGATGACAGAGAGACAGGAAAATTGATCAATATAAAAATCTTATTAAAGTTGGAACGGTGAATTATAAATATGTTCTGTGCAATGCAGTGCCTGTGGTTAACAACTAGGCATTTGTACAATCTAAACTTAAGAGGGCATGTCTCAAATTAAGCATTCTGAATGCACAGAAACAATGACAGTACACAAGGAACATTTGGGATATGTCACTTATATTTACCACCTTGATTATTGTGATGTCATGAGTGTTTCAATATGCATAATCTGGACAACTTAAATACTTAAAGTTTGTTGTATGTCACTTCTGAAAACTGGTGATTCACTCATCGCTAAGATGTATCAGATAAAGGGAGGCTAAGACAACTGATATAGGGGACAGTGTTTGTGATTCTCCACCAAGGTCAAAGGTATGCAAACATAAAGGTAGTGTTGGGGAGCAGGAAGCAGTAGAGTTTATGAGAACATGTTAGACTTCAGGACAATTAGTCAGTTTGGGATGAGCCAGACACCCATGACTAGTGTCAAGGCTACAGTGATGTAGTAAGACATAATGGAGCTTGTGTGAAAAGAACCCTTGTTTCCCAGCACATTCTTGCTAGAGGCAGGGAACAGAGGAAAACTGGTCAGAACGCCAGTCAAAACAGGCTCAGAAGCATTTTAGTACATATCTTAACATACTTTATGCTTCAATGACAGAATGCCACATTGTATAATGGTTACTATATAGTGACCACAAGTTTATCTGGCTCAAATCTGTTCCTTGAATATATTATTTGAACTTTTTCCATGCTGTGTGTCATTTTTTCAGACATTGTATCATGTTCAATTGACTACTTTTATATGATATCCTCTGATTTTGGCTCTTATTCTAAATTTGTAAAAATGTGTTTGTGTCTTCCATCAATATCGATATAGCTTTATCTGCTCTATTTAGCTTTCAACAGCCCATTTTGAATTGATTTGATTGAATGATATGTGAAAGAGTTACATATTAATAACAAGTGCCTATCTAATTATCCCAGCACCATATGATAAAAAAGTATTTCCATTGGATTTATCATAAACCCTTATATACACTGCTTACAGATAGAAGCTTGTTTCTGGGATGTCAAACTTGTTCCCCTGGTTGACACATGATAATTAGTACTACACTAAGTAGACTATTACAATGTTATAGTGAGATTGCAGTGGAGAAGTGGAGGTTAGGTCTTTATTCTCCTGTTTTAAGTTAGTTCTGATTTTCTTTGGTCACATAATTTTCATGGGGGATAATGATTCCTGTGCAAGTAAATTAAATTAAAAAAAAAACAGGAAGTTGATAGGAATATCATTGAGTTTAAAGATTGATCTAGAAAGTGTATCCATTGTCACGAAGTTATTTTCATTGACTCATGAGTGTGGGTGCCTCTCTTTTTCTGTATGTCTTTAAATCTCTTTCCACACAGCTTTGTGATTCTAAGTGCAATGTTTTATATTTCTTTCATTTAATGTATATTTAAGTAAATTATAATTTTTATTAAATTACTGATGAGTTTAATGGTTGTTTCTTTTTGATCTTCTGTTCTGATGTTTGCTGACAATTTAAATATTTCTTCAAATTTCTTCATATATTAACTAGGATTTCTATACAGGACATTAAGTTATTAACCAGTAGAAATAGTCTCCTTTCTTTTTTCATGATTAGAGGTGCTTTATAGTTAGTGTCTGGTTCAACTTACTCTAACTAGAATCTATGCTATAATATTAAATAAATATATGAAGATTGCTTTCATTTATTAACTTATGGTGAAAGTATTTTAGAGGTATTGTTTGACAGTTCTCCTGGATGATGTTGATATTTTAATATAAAACAATATTTACTAGGTAGACATGAAAAATTGTTAGACAATTGCATAGACTTTGTTATGTCTGTTCTTTGGGTGTTCATGGAATAAAAATAGACATGGACATACACTAGATACCTATTTGCATTTCTCATGTTAGTCCTTAAATAGTAACATGCATGAAGAACTGTTAGAAACAGGGGACAGAAGAACAAAAAGACTTGAATTCAAATGTCATAATCAAGCACAAAGTGATAAACAACCTCTTTCACATTCCTACAAAGGAAATGTCCAAAGGCAATCACTCCAGAGTGACTGAGTTCATCCTTTCTGGGTTAACAGACAAACCAGAGCTACAGCTGCCCCTGTTCCTCCTCTTCCTTGGAATCTACCTGCTCACAGTGCTGGGGAACCTGGGAATGATCATCTTGATCCTGCTCAGCTCCCACCTACACACCCCCATGTACTTCTTCCTCAGCAGTCTCTCCTTCATTGACCTCTGTTATGCCACCGTTGTTATCCCCAAAATGCTGGTGAACTTTGTAACAATGAAGAACATCATTTCCTACCCTGAATGCATGACTCAGCTCTATTTCTTCGTAGTCTTTGTTATATCTGAGTGTTACATGTTGTCTGCAATGGCATATGACCGATATGTTGCCATCTGTAACCCCTTGATGTATAATGTCACTATGTCTTACCAAGTCTGTTCCTGGATGGTAGGTGCAGTGTATGGTATGGGCTTCATTGAAGCCACAGTTCACACTGTTTGCATGCTCAGAGTGCTTTTCTGCAAGGCTAATGTAGTAAACCATTTCTTCTGTGATCTTCTACCATTGCTACAACTTTCCTGCTCCAGTACATTTGTCAATGAGGTAGTAATTCTGTGTCTCAGTTCTTTTAATTTCTGTGTTCCAACCCTGACCATCTTGAGCTCTTATAGTTTTATCATTGCCAGAATCATCCGCATGAAATCCACTGAGAGCAGATTCAAAGCCTTCAGCACCTGCAGCTCCCATATCTTTGCTGTGGCTGTCTTCTTTGGTTCTCTGGGATTCATGTACTTTCAGCCATCATCAGTCAGCTCCAAAGATCAAGGGAAAGTGTCCTCTGTGTTTTATACTACTGTGGTACCCATGCTGAACCCACTAATTTACAGCCTGAGGAATAAGGATGTCAAACTTGCTCTAAATAAGTTGCTTCTAAAGACGACATTTCAGATGTAAAATAATATTTTATGTTAGCAAAAGTCCTTATATCTGTGGTTTTGATAAGAAAAATACTTTGAAACAACAATGTATGTCAAATTTGGATTAGTATGTGGTTATTTACAAAATATTATTAGGATTGATTGGACCCAAAACTTTTAGATATGTGAAAGAAGCAATTCTGAGATTCCCTGGAGCCTATTAACATGAAATTAATTACCACATCTCATATTTTTCAAAACACTTCCAAAATCTTCTTATAGTTCATTATGCTTTTTGTGTGTGCAACCTCACTATTTTGGGGTGATAATTAGTTGTCTCATTTAAAGGAATAAATATATATGAAAGAAAGATATCTATTATCTGGTTTTTGTGTATCTTACTCTTGTCAATTAAGTATATTACCAACTATATCTGAAAGAGTGATATCTAAAATAAGCGAATTTAGCAAAAATGAATAGACCAAGCTATCACTTCTAAATCTTCCTAAGCATGTAGAACTGTATTGTGGAATATAAAATATATTAGAAATAATATTGTTTCTACCTTCAGGGAAATAATACCGAAAACATTTAACAAGAGCATACACATGTTCATATACTCTTGACATAGTTATTGATCCAGTTCAGGGACTTTACCAACATCTTTATTTTTCTGAAAATTTTATACTACTTTTTCCTATTGAAAATAACTACTACTGCACTTTCTTAAGACCACATTATAGAATCTCAGTTTCAGAAGTGGTATTCTCTAACAAATGCATTGTTGTGCTATTTTTCATATAGAAAAATTAAAATTGGAAACTTGTTGTCTATCTAATGACATGTAGTATTCACACCTCCAAACTAACTATCCTTTTGGGTTCATGACATGCATGGAAGAGACTTACAACCAATAAATTTTATTTTCTAACCTCATTCAATTAAGCTCTAAACTAGAAATAACATCATCCAAGTCAGAAAGTCTCAGTATCTCCCGGTAGCATCCACATTTCACATCTCCTCCTGGAGACGTCAGCAGCAGAAGCATAGCTTTTCTGGTCTCATACCTACAATAGATTCCCCTAGAATAAGGTACTTCTTCATTGTCTCTCAGCTCATTTAGCTACTATCTCAAATGTCAGATTATTATGACTTTCTTGAGAATGTTATTGAAATTTTAATTCTTAGATAATTCAGCTTTTATTGCTAAATAAATACCTATATTGTTAAATTGTGAAAAAAAAAAGGAAAAAAAGAAACTTCTATAATTCATGATTACTGTGAGTGAGCTCCAAAGCCTTTAAACCTGTTGCACTATGGAGACAAGCATGGAGATTTCCAAATAGCACATGTACTAATCTGTGTCCAGAAGCACCAAACTGGAGCCTTTATTCCTCTTCCCAGCATTGACTTTTAAACTTTATTATCTCACATCTATGATTTCAGCTGAATCCTGTAGTAGGGACTGAACATTGGTGGCTTTGTCTTCAGCTTGCTTTCAAATATGTGACAAGACACTTTCTATCACATCTCTTCTCCCTCATCCTGTCACACTAAAACTAGAAACAACAAGCCAACATTCTATTAGAAAATCAAAATAAAGGCCCTTGTTTTTCTATAACCCTGACTTCCCTTCACCTTATCTTCTCTATTATCCCACAAAACTCTATGTATGTACATCCATTGCAGTTGTTTGTTTAGGTTGCATGGTATGTGGCTCACTTACCACATACTAGTACAAAATAATACATGTAATCAAAATTTTTAATAATTGAAGAGAACATAAGTGGGACATAAATTTCCAAGTTGAAAAATATGAGTGACTGAATTCCATTTCTCCTAGCACCATTCCGTCTAAGTATGTGTCAGACCATGATGAACTCTAGTCTCTAGAAATTATAAAAATATACTCACAGTAGCTGAAAATAATCACT